TAATATCTAAAGGAGAGGAAGAGGAGGAGAATAATTCAGTGTTCAGCAATAATTCAGTTGCTCAGCAATTGACTTGCAAAGCTCATTCTCTGCTGTTATTTTCACCATTTACAAATGCAGGATCTATGCAAGTAAACAGCACTGATAAAACACTGGGAGAATCACTCTTCACTCTATGCTGAAATCCGAGAGGATTTGTGTCACACAGGGCTTACACCCAGCTACAAGCCAGTCCTCCGAATGGTACAAGCAATCATTCATATATATCTCATCAGGATAGTTTTTTAAGTATTGATGGAAGTAGGCTTTGTGGCATTTTAAAATGTGTCTCCATTATTATTGAAACCTTGTGCTTTTTTTTTTAAAGAGTCACTTTATAGTTAAAACAAGCCTAAACAAAGCTACCACAAAATACCAACAAGACTTAACTCTGAGGAGCGGAATTGGCTGTCCCCTCCATTTCACTTTATGTTCTTCTGCACTAGTTCTGTTTTTGACAATGAGAAAAATGCACTCATTTTTTAAAATTAAGAATAAAGTCTTTTAAATTTATCAATGGTTAACTCCAAGTGCAAGGATTATAGGTTTTTTTTTTTTTTCCTTATATGAACCTCACTTTATATTGAGTAAAAGCAGGCACTATTCAAAAGAACATTGACTAAACTGTTGTCACTTTCCCCACAGGAAGTGCACCAAGTGTATCAGGTTACAAGGAGCTCTGCTGTTGGCAGTCTGTAAACCCTTCTTCACCTCATTAATCATTGGTCAACCACTGGCCAAAGAAACTGCAGCTGGGAATCATGACATGGGTCCAACCTCACAGGACTGGGCAAGACCGCCTGACTTAAGAGTGCCCCCTGGACCTCAGTTCAAGGGCAAACTGTCTGGGAGAGAAACGGGAGTTCCCTGGGCTGTGTAATGAGACCAGGTTTATAAGACACTACACTATGTTTTTCTGGCCATCAGTCAAAGATTACGAGTTCTGCCAGCAAGTTACCTTTGGTAAGGGTTATTTATATGCTATAATGCCGCGTTCTTTTAGCTTGTTTTTATAAACTTGGATGGACTGTTTAGCCTGCACTGTGTCCAGTAGTGGGGATAGAAAGAGGCAAAATACACATACAAGGTCCCTCCTTCAGGAAGTCCATTGTCAAAGGTAAGAATCAGACAGATAAAGCAATTAAAAAATAGCAAGCAGAGGTTTAGGCAAAGCGCTCTAGGAATGCCGGAGAGAAATCAGCAAGATCACACCAGCAGAAGCTTCTCATGGTAAGACAAGACGTCACAGCCTAGGGGTACAGCTACAGGACTTGCCTGCCAGGTAGGAGGCTCTGAGTTCTGTCCCCCAATATAAGGAGGAAGAAAGACCACTGACCAAAGGTCAGGTCCAGGACACCACCATGAAAATGAGCCAAACATACGAATTTAAACTCCTTCTTTAGGACAGTAGAAGAATAAGGTGATATTTCAAAGGTGACTCTTTCAACTAGACACAAGGCCTTTGAAGAACTCTAAAGCAAGCCTTGTGAACAATCTCTGTTCAGCACAGGCGCGGCTGTGAATCTTAAGGGCTTGTTGCACTAGGGCATCGTAGGCTCTCAAGGTAGGGAAGGAAGGGTTTATCACAAAGACAATTGTGAGTGTAGCTTTATGTAATAGATGGATTTTATAAACTGACACATAAGAAACCCACAAATATTTTGAAGGAATTATGTCAGTTTAGGGTGAAAGATAGTTCAAAACCAAATGAGGCGCTCCAAGCTTGTATGGCAATGGTGGTGAACTTATACCATATTGTGTTTTTCTTTCAAGACAAATGATATTAATGTGTGAGTCGTTCTTTGTAAATGAAAGTCCCAGTGGTCAAATTTAATTACACGTTGGCGCTTTGTGACAAATAAGTGGGTTTCGGGTGCCACCGGCACTCAGGCTCTAAAAGTTTCGCATCACGGCTCTATAGCCATAAAACAGGCTAAAAATGCCACAAATACAGACGATTTCTTATGAAGAAAAGAAAGAGGTGGCTCTGAAAGTGGGAAGAGGGACCTACAAGAGAGGGAAAAGTTCCGGGGTTCCTCCAGCAAGCAAGACTGAGCCCTCACCAATAAATAGGTGACATAAGAGAGGATGGATTTCAGAGCCATCTAAGCCAGTGACTGCTCTCTGTTCCCTCCTCCCCCTGCACGCCATGTGTGCGTGTGCGTGTGCGTGCATGCGCGTGTGCATGTGTGATGAGTATCACCTGAGTTAGCTTTGCATGTTTGGACACAATAGCTGACACCCACACTTAAAGAAAGAGAGGTTTAATTAGTATTACATTTTAAGATTTCATGCAGGGTCAGCTGGCTCCAGCGCAGAAATATTGTAGGAGAAAGCATGTCAGAACAAAGTTGCTCTGTTTGTAGCAGGAAGTTAGCAGAACAGGAAAACAGTGCCAGAGAAGAAAAGGCCCAGAACCAGATGTATACCTGAGGCCACACCTCCATGGCCTGCCCTACACACCTGGAAGTTCGCTCCTCCGCCAGTCTCCTGGGTGGACCCGCAGCCTGCCACACTGACTCCACCCTAACCTACCCAGGGCTGAGCCCAGGGCCTCACATGCTGGGCAAGCCCTTCCCCACTTAGAACAAGAATCTCTCTTGCCATCATCCTGCATCTGTAACATCATCTGCTAGGTGTATTTGCGTAAGGAAAAGCAGAAAACTTGTCTCTGTATTTCGTAAGTTTTAAAATCAAAAGGAAAAGCTCCCAAGGCACCCAACTACACATGGACCACGTTTAGCTTCTGAGACCCCGGAACCTGAATATGAGTCAGGGCCTTCAGGAGATGAAACGTGGCGGACAGAGGACAGGTGTGGAGGCCACCTGTGCAGCTGAGAAGCTGGCTGAATCTCTGATACTTCTCCCCTGAGAGGCAGAGTTATGTCCCCTCCTTGGAGCAGGATGTCACTACTTCAGTCAGTTGAAAATGACAATGACAGGGAGTCTGCATGGCTTCTGAAGCAGGAGCCTCACTGTCCACTCGTGTTCCAGGCATTTCGGGGTGGAGAGAAGCCACCTGCATTGGATCAGTCTGATTTCCTGTCCCATGAAGACCGTGAAGGCAGTGACACCAAGTTTGGAGTTGCTTCCTGTCACACAATGGTCAGTAATGGAGCACTGCTGTATCTGTCTCCTGCGGCTGCCAAAACACATGATCACAACGTCAGAGGCTTAAAACAACGGAAATTTATTCTCTCACAGTTCTGGAATCCAGAAGTATAAACTGGGATCATCGCACAGACACTGAGGTGCTGCAGGCTGCAGGGACATCCGGGCCTTATTTCTTCCAGCTTCCGGCAGCTGCATCACTTGGTCAAGGTCAGCACCCACAGGTCTCTATTCCTCTGGGTCACTATCCTGGGTCACTAAACAAATACTTAGTTTAATTAAACCTGCAGAGATTTTTTTGGCTGAGTTTCCACTCGTCGCACACTTTAAATTTATAGGCTCCAAGAATGAGGACACGACACCTTTTGAGGGTTTATTTTTCTGCCCACCATGATGCCATGAATGGTATATGCAAGGATCATACTATACATTCTCTTTTTGAAATCTTGATTTTATTATTTTTGTTTTGTTTTTTTTGGTGGCATGGGGGACCAAACCTGGGGCCTCCAGTATGCTCAGCAAGTGCTTTAACCCTGAGCCACACTTTATAGCCTGTCTTAAGCACCTGCCTTGCAAGTAGGCAGTCATGAGTTCGATCCCCAGTACTGGAAAAAAAAAAATTCCTCCTATCCCAACTTTATATCCTGCCTTTTTTTGATATATGAACAAAAAAATAAGCATTTCTCACATTATTACCCTGAAAATAGCCTGGGCATATTACTGGACATAGAATGTTTTGTTGAATGTGTATATCATAATTTAGTTATCCAAAACCTTAATACTGGATACTTATTTCCAACTCCCTGTTTTTTATTATTTTCTCAGAGTAGATTCTAGATAGTGAAACCACGAACCTGAGTGGAGCTGTTTTAAGATTTGTAAGATATATTGCCAAACTGCTACTTGAAATACATTCATTAAGGCTGGGTATGTTGGCCAGATGGCAGAGTTCTTTCTTCACGTGTTCGAGGCCCTTCATGCAATCCACAGCACATGCAGAGCACTAGTAATTTATTATTTTATCATCCCATAGGAGATGCCTGCTACTGGACTTTAAGTTAAAGTTTTATGGCGTTTGCTGGTATTTCTTCAGAAGCCTAGTTGTTTTCCTTATCATTTTACGTTGAATTCTTTGTATATTAAGGATAATAATCCTTTGTGATTTTTGTAGCAAATACTTCTTGGTCATTTTAATATTTGTTTTAAGTTGGGGGCCCACAAATGTTTGTGCAGTGAGGATGGGAAAGGTTTTTAGTAACTCTGTCACTTACTTTATAGTTTCATACTTTATACAGGAAGTCTGGTTCTTTCTGAAATCAGACCCATTACAGGCTGAACGTTTATGGGGTCTGGGTTAAAAAGACTGGATTAGGCTCTATATATGAATGGTGGTGGTGGAAAATTTAAATGAAATAACGTAAATTGAAGAATCCAGACTGCCCTCCCAAAAGCATAAGATTTGTGTGTTTTTGATTTTTTGAGACAGGATTTTGCTATGTTGTTCAGGTTGACCTCAACCTCACTATGTAGTCCAGGCTGGCTTCAGACTCACAGTGATCCTGCTACCTCAGCCTCTGAGTGCTAAGACTTGGAGTATATAACTCATGGTATTTGTTTCTGGTTTTTAGAAAAGATTCAGTCTTAGCAAATCACAGAAGACAAAACACAAATGCCCCCCCCCCCCGCAAATGCAATGTGCTCAACCTGCTTAATAATTTTAGAATGAAAAACTGGTTACCATTTTCTGATGCTCAGGTTAACAAAAATTTAAAGGATAAACTCTAGCACAAAAGGTGATATGTTGTGTTGTAGTCAGGGGTTGTGAGAACAATTAGAATCAGGACACAGAATTTATAATATTATTTATAACATTATTTTATGATGGTCACCCAGAGTTGAAAAAACAGAAAGTGCAGGAAATCTGTCCACAACACTAGATTCAGAATATTCACAGAATATTCAGCCAAGGGCCTGGATCCTACAGCAATGTCCTGTATGAGTCCAGATGAAAACCTTGAGCCCATGACAATGCCTCCCAAGAGTCCAAATGGAGGTGTAGCGCCCATGACAAGGACTCATGCCAGTCTCTTTTACGGATCCATATTGGGAAGGCCCAAAGGTCAGCAGTGGAAGCCAGAAAGTCTATGCCAGCAGGGTGAAGGAGCTGTGCTGGTGGGATGAGGGTTCTACCCTGGAGCCCAAGAAGCCACACTCACAACAAAGACGAGAGCTGTCCTGAAAAGCACAACAGCCATCTTGAGTGACATGGAGGTCCTGAGCTCCTCCAACGATAAGAACAGTCAAGTACATGCCAGAAAGCCAGCGTGATAAGTTCCTCCTGGAGATTAAACAGCACACGTCTCCCCCCCCCATCCCCAGCCAGGAAGCGATGCTCAATGTAAGGACCAGAGCTACCCCAAAGTGAACCACAGCCACTCTCACCAACAAGGTCCTGAGCTCCTCTGATGACAATGGTCAAACCCACACTGGGGAAGCCAGTCATGACACACTCCTTCTCCAGGAGAACCAACCCGCTCAAAACAGCAACACTCAGAGAAACCCACAACACCTAGCTTCTCCTTCTCTATGTTTCTATTTATGCTGGCAACTTTCCTCAGGCAGGCCATCTACACTTAGCACCATGCTGATTCTATTCAGCTGGCATTAGGCTGACCACCAGTTTTTTTTTTTTAATGTATCTTTTTTTTTGTCTTTTTCCTTTTTTATCGGTACCAGGGATCGAGCTCACGGCTGCCTGCTTGCAAGGCAGGCGCTTATGCCTCCAGCCCCCGACCACCAGTTTTTAATCCATAACAGGCGAAACAGGAGTTCACTCCTGGGCATGGAGAATTGTGTCATTTGCTGACTCTTCTTGGAAAGCAATGGCTATGTTTGTTAAAGCTTAAAATGTGCATATTCTTAGCTACATTTAGTGACACCACCTCCAAGCTCAGGTCCTCTAGAGGCTGGGATAGGAGGATCCCAAATGTGAGGTCAGACTGAGCAAATTAACAAGGCCTTGACACAAAATACACATTTGAAACCCGGCTGGGATATATCTTAGTGTTAAAATGACCCTAGGTTTGAGTCTCAATATGATGAGAAAAAGATGCCAATTATTTGATATAACATTTTCGATTTAACTAATTTATACTCTAAAAAGACCCCAAAAATGCAAAGTGCACAAGGACGTACAGGAAAAGATATTTACCTCTGTATGGTTTGTAACAGTAAAACACTAACAACGATTTACATGCCTCTTAATAGATAAATGTTTAAGTCTCTTCCCACTAAAATCGAGTTCCCCAAGAAGAGACCTGTTTGCTGCTGTCTCTCAGAACCTAGCACATAATAAATATTCAGTGACTGCGTCTGGTTCAGCAGGAGAGTATGTATCACTATGGCTGCACGAGCACGCACACACAATCCTTGGAATTAGCTGAACCTGTGACACTGGTATCCCAGGAGGAGAGACAGGACGGGGGGGGGGCGGATTAACATTTTTCTTTTCACGCCTCTGCATAATTTAAATCTGTTGGAAGAAAGTGTGCAAACCTTCCGCTTGCATCCATAAAAGCTCAAGCCAGACTTGGCGAAGGGAAATGGGACAGAGAAGGGTCGAAGCCTTCCGCACCACCGGGGAAGGCAGATCCTCCTCTCCCGATCATCGCTAGCGCCGCAGCCGCCGCTGACCTTGGCCGTCGCCGACGCGGTGCGTGCGGGACCCCGGCGGGCGTCGCTCCTCCCCGCCCCTGCCCCTCCCCCGTCCCTTCCCCGTCCCTCCCCTTCCCTCCCCCTTTCCCTCCCCCTTCCCATGCCCCTTCCCCTCCCCTCCCCCCACCGCCTCCCGGAGCAGCGCCCCCGGCTTCTCCGTTTCCGGAGCGGACCCCGAGGTGCCCGAGGAGGGGCGCTGCTCCCGGGAGGACCGGCACCGCCGCTATTAATATTAACCCGCAGCCCCGGCCGCTCCCTCCGGGGTTTCCCACAGCAGGAAGTGGGGCGGGGTGCGGGAGGGAGCGGCGCGCGGAGCATAAACGATCCCGCCGGGCCCGAGGTCCAGGGTGATTCACCCGGTTCTCTCGCCCACACCCCAAGTGGGCCGGGCTCGAATCCACTGATCTCGAAGCTGAGAGAGAAATCGGGTCTCCGGAACGCCGGAAACGCGGCAGGTGGCGTCCTGCTTCTGGGGCGTTGGTTTTTGCTTTTGCTTTTGGGGTTTTTTTTGCTTTTGCAGAGAGGAGGGCTGGTTTCCAGTACTGGGATTGGAACCCAGTGGCCTTGGCACTGAGCTACAGCCCCAGCCCTTTTAAAAAGAAAAAAAGTTTAAAAAGAAAAAAAGTTTTGAGACAGAATTTTGCTAAGTCATTAATTACACTGCCCAGCCTGGGCTTGAGTTTGAGGTCCTCTCGCCTCAAACTCCAACTCCAGAGCGCTGGGATTACAGGCGTGCACTATTTTCTCTGGTTCCCTGTCTCCCAGTTTCTGTGTGTGTGTTTGTGTGTGTGTGTGACCGATGTCTCTTTATGTCGCCACGCTTGCCTCAAGCTCCTCCTGCCTCAGCCTCCCGAGGAGCAGCTGGGACCACGGGCAGGCAACCCTGTGCCCCGGGTAAATCGGAATCGAGTTTTCGGCCACACCGAGGCTCTCGGGCACAAGTCCCCCGTTCAGGTCCTGCGTGTCACTGCGCGGCCCGGGGGAGGACACTGCGATCGGGAGCCCAGGCCAGGGGGGCTGCCGTGCCCTGCCTGCCCTGCCCTGCCCTGCCCTGCGCACCAGGCTCGCGGCTCGGAGGCCGGGGCAGCAGCGCCCCCTGCAGGGATCCGACCGCGGCTGCCACGCCCGGACCTGGCTCGTGACCAGGGTGTCCAGTCACTCAGCCCCGGCTTCCTCCCGGAGCGCGGCGACTGCCTGGACGCGGGCGGGTGCTGCCCTCGGGCGGGCGCACAACACCCAGCTCCGTCCACCTTTCCGTCTCCAGTATCCTAAGGCTCGATTGCAGACCGCAGGGCGCTGGAGACGCCTGGCTGAGCGAACAGCTCGCTTCTGCCTGCGTGGCTTGGCGTTAGAGTCGCTGTTCTGTCCTCAGGACTAAGAAATCCGCCCTGAAAGGCACCCAGGTGACAGCAAGGGTGTCGCTCCCCTTCCCGCCAAGGGTCTCCCAAGAGAAGCACCCAGGACACTGGCTGTGCGTTTCAGATCCTCACCCCAGGAAACAGAAATAAGTGTTGATGTTGGTGTTTGCAGATCACTCCCAAGGACAGTCCTCCAGCTGCCAGGATAGGAAGAAATGACAAGAAACATGCATTTGAGGGCCTTCACTCTGAGCTACGTCCCCGGGGCCACTTTATCCCTCTGAACCCCTACATTACCAGGCTGGGTTCAAACTGGTGATACCCTGACCTGGGATTACCAGTTCAGCCGTATTTTTAACAATCGTTTGGGGAAAAAATGTTTATGTTTTACCATCTGGCTGCCACACAAATCCAGGTAGGCTTTGTTTTTGGTCCTTTTGCATCCTTCTGTATTGCTAGTTACTGGGCAGTGGTCTCTCATTGTAGTTTAACCATGGTGGCCTTCTGTCTGTTTCTGCCAACTCAGCTGTACCCCAACATAATTCTGTGTAGAGAACTGGAGGTGAGGTGGGGTGAGTCCTGAAGTTTTGTTGGTTTGCCTGTGGTTATTTTTAGAACTTTAGATACATGAAGTAAAAGAACAAGTGTCTGAGTATAAAATAGCTCAAGTCATTTTTAATAGCTCCTAATCTGTGGTTTAAGTACTTAATTCTTGTTGCTGATTCTGCTAATCAGCAATAAATTTAAATTATTTAAGTGTCACACAAGAAGCCATTGTGTTCTACTACAATGACTAGCTCCTACAGTGTGGCGTTTTTTTCATTATTTGCTTTCCTGAGGTTGGAGAGGAATTTATCAACTACTGCTTGTTGTCATGCTTTGGATACAAAGTTATGAATGCAGACTGTGGACCCTGACAGCTCTGAGATAATGTGAACAATTACAAAAAAAAAAATCCTTTCTCAGAAGTCAAATACTGAGATGTATGACATGCCTGAGGTTCATACATAGCAATCAACCCCAAGACAAACCCAATGTCTTGGGGAATATTGCTTTCCGTGAAAATATGTGTGTATATTTAAAGGGATGGTTTCCTAATCATTTCATCTCAAAGAAATCCTCTTCATGGATCAATTTGGCTATACTCTAGGCTAGAAATATAGCTCATAGTAAATTGCTTCCTAGCACGCCCAAGGCCTTGGGTTCTATCCCCAGCCCCAGAAAAAGGAAAAACTGGTTTATGGATTAGATCTGTAGCACAGAATTGCCAAAATCCTGTAGAAAGAAGGACAAACTGGCCATTTAACTTTGGGGCTTTGGATCTTAGATGATATTATCTGTACTGACTGTGGTAAATGACAAATTCCAACTTAGACACTTTGTTGTTAAAACAAACGTCATGTTTGGGCACTTGAGGATAGAAGACAAAAGGTCACCTCTGACTGCCCTGCCTTCTCTAGACTGAGCCTTCCGAGAAAGAAGCCCTTTTAAGTGACGGTAAAATAGGGCCCCGGAGGCCCTGTGTTCAATTCCTAGTGACATAGTCATGCTTCAAAAAAAAGTTGGTATAATCTCTTGAACTAACAAATTGACATTCTATTTTATTTAGAATTTGAGAGATTTTTTTCCTCCTATATCTAAGTTTATAACTTTCTGGAAATATATATATATTTTTTTCAAGTGATTTCATTCAGCCAGTCCCCTAGTTATCACTAAAATCTGCTTGGTTTCCTAAAATCATAAAATTAAAAATTAAAAAATGAATATAAGAATTACATAGTGGTGGGGAGTTAATATGGTCTGTAATATAATTTAAATTTTTTACATATTGATAGTTTTATTTGCATAATTTAGATATGAATTTACATTTCTTACCCTCCAAAGAAAAAACTAATTTAGCGCAAGAATTGCTGTTGTAGTTTCTATGAAGGGAAAATTGTAAAGTGTAAAATTCTTGCCTTAAAAGGACTTCAGAGGATAAATCCGACTTACAGAAGTAGGACTACAACAGACCCCTTGGGAAACGAAGAGCAGAGTTAATACTGAGATGAAATGGTTTCACAATAAAGAAAAATTTAATGCTATTTACTTAAATATGTGTCTGGTTTTGGGGAACTAAAAGAAATGGACCGATCAATTGTGTGGAAGTCCCCAACAACAGCCTCAACTAATCTTGACTCTCCTAGAAACCAGATGTGTTTGGGGACATTTCTTCTGGTAGATGAAAAGACAAGGAAGCTATGCAGGTCAGTAACTTGTCTTCACATCTGGAATGTCAGTGCTTCGCCACTGCGGATGAGATGCAGACTCTGAGGTGGTGGAAAGCGGTGACCACAGGCTTGGGGCTGTTTTGATAAAGGAAGCGAAGCTCAATGCATTTGAAAAAAAAATTCTGAGAAAGGCTTCTCCTATCAAGATTTGAGAAATTGTTCTGTTCAAAGTTGCTTTGCAAGGAACCTGGAGCACTTTGCAGAAGATGGTTCATGATAAAAGAAGCAATTGACATCCTTATTAGGATCAAGTCCCAAGTGTAAGCTGTAAAGATGAGTTCACTGAGATTGCCTCTTGATCTGGGCTGCACAGATGCAGAGGTAGCTCAGGGGTGTTCTTCCCAAGGTCACCAGACTGAAAAAGGGCAGCCTGTTCCTAAAGCCAGTCTCCAGCACTGGCCTTAAAAACTTACATCCTTTTCTTGCCATTCTGCCGCTGAGATTTCTTTCGTTTCTTTTTGTTGCCTTCTCTTATTTTTTCCTGAACAAGAGCTGCAACGAGATCATTACTGTTCGGATGTTTGAATCGCTACTTAGGATTTAGGATTTTTTTTCCACTAATGTAGGCGTTTTACTGGATATTACTAGAAAGGAGCGAAGCTTCCGTTGGTTTCATTGTGTTAACTGAGTGAATAAACTGCGGTGAATTGGTTACAGGGAAAACTCCAGCTGCGGTTTCCCCATACCTACTTTGTGGCGAGAGTTCCACTGGTGCGCGGTGTGAGTGTCTGTGTGTGGGGGCGCTGGAGATGGAACCCAGAGTCTCTGCACTGAGCGAGGTCTCGAGCCCTTTTTAATTTGCTCTTTCTTATTATTTTTTTCTTTTTATGCTGAGATAGCACAAGTTACCCACGGTGAGCCTCAGCTTGTCCTCCTCCCTCAGCCTCCCAAGTGCTGCGACTACAGACCTGCGCCAAGGCGGCCAGCTAAGGCTTGCACATTTAATTTCCATATTTATCTTAAAATCCCAATCTTACCATACATTAATAACGTGCCCATATCACTGTGCATTTTAACAAAAGAAACGTATTGGGCAAAACTATCCTTTTAGAATGGTGGAGAAGCTCTCCCCCAGATTTGTTTTTTTTAAACCCACCCAATAGATTCTGCGGGGCCTGACTTGGCTGGAATTTAGGGTTTGGGTGTTGGTTTTTGTTTGGGGGATGCTGGCTCAAACCCGGCCCCTCCACGCGGGCTAAGCGCACACTCAGTGAGCTACGTCCTCAGCCCCCTACCTCAGGCCCATGGCCGTCGTGGGAGGATCTCCAGCGGCCCAGTTTGGGAGCCGCGGAGGATGCAGTGACGCTGGTGCCTGTGTCTAGGGTCGGGCAGGACTTGGGCCCCTTTCGGGGTCATTTCCAGGACGAGGGCTCCTAATGCCAACCCCAAACGCCCGTTTTCCAGAGCGCGCGCGCCCCCTGGCGGCTAAACTGAAGCCAGCGCGCCCCGAAGAGCGTGGGATTCCGGGGCCCCACCCCACCCTGCCCAGGGTCCCCCATCCCCACCCTACCCGGGGTGGCTCTGGGTGTCGCCTCATCTTTCCATCTCAACCTCAGGGGCCCAGCGCAAGCTTCTGGAACGGAACGGAGGCTGCTGCGATGCACACTCGCGCCTCGTTGCGCGACCCCTCGGAGCCCCACAGGTCCACGGCACCTCGCTGGGCAGCTCCCGGCGCCCTTGCCCGCAGCGGGGACGCTGGGCTGGCCCCGGCGGGTGGCAGCTTGCAGAGAGCAGCAGGGCGGGTTCCCCCGCCCGCCTCCCTCCTCGCCACGCCACGCCACGCCGCGCGCGCGCGCGCGAGGGGGCCGAGCCGGGCCGGGGAGCGCTCGCTCGTAATCGCTCGCAGCGGGACAATGCCGACTTTTGAACCTCTAACCACTAAGCAAACAACCCTTGCGCTCCGGCTGCACCGTCCAAACAGGTTTATTGACAGGCGTTTCGCGGCAACGCATAGCAACCCCGGCGCGGCGCGGGGCGGCGGTGGGCGCAGCCTGGGCGCGGGGCGCTGCGGCCCGGGCCCTGAACCCGGCCGCGCCCAGCGACGCCACGCGGCCTCCTCCCCGTGGGGAGCCCCCCGCCCCCGCCCCCGCCCCCGCCCGCGGCCAGGCGCCCGCGCTGGCCGGCCGCAACGCGCCACCCGGAAGGGCCGCGGAGCACAGAGGCGCTGCGCCCCTGCCTCTGGCCGCCGGCCGCGCCTGGCCCGCCGCCCCCGGGTGACTTTTCCTAGTCGGAGACGGGCGCTCCAAGGCGCCGGGGCCAGACGGAAACACAGGCTCCGCGTCCTCGGGGCCTCCCGGACCCCAGCTTCTCCAGTGTGGCGCCAGCGGATCCGACAGATCGGCGGCCACCGGGCGGGGCCCGGGTCACCCCAGCACCGGGGCGGGGAGGGGCTCGCCCCCCCCCACGCCGCGTCTGTGGGAGGGTGGGACAGGGTAAGAACGCGCGCACAGGGAGCAAGGCTTCGGGGCCACGGAGGACGAATGCGTGGAAATGTCTTGGGCAGAAGGGACAAAATACTTTTACTGCATGCTTTTTGTTCAACATCCACAAGAAGGCAGAAGTGGCTGGTGGGGCCGGTTCCCTGTTGGCCGCGCTGCCTCGTGGGTTTAAAGGGGCGTTGCGAGGAAGCCCTCGCGCTCCCCCCGCCCCAATTCCGCAGCAGCTGGGAAGCAGCTGACCATCCAGATGTGCATTTAGCCTAAAGGCACCCCTAGGAGAATCACACATTCCGCAAGCGAGGCTGGGCTCAGGCTGGGGGCTGGGAAGGTCTTGGAACCCGCAGCCTCGGGCTTCTGCTCTCCGGTTAAACCGGGCTGCGCGTGTCGACTTTCCCACCCTCTCCGATATTTTTTTTCCTATTTCCGGCATGCAAGCAGAGAAGTGACTTCGTTTCTTAGAAAAAAATAATTCCTTTCAAAATCTGAAGAGGATAAATGACAGAATCGAAGATCTGGAAAGGTCATTTATCTTTTTTTTTTTTTTTTCTTTTTAGAAAAAACATTCAGCCGTGTTCGGATACCCCCACTTCCCTTCACCACATCACATCTCTCCCATGGATCCAGAAGGCTTCTATAAGGCTGGCTCGGATGTGACACAGATCAATGGCCCAAACGTTGGCAGGGACAACAAAAACTGCCTTCCTCAACAGCCTTAAGATTGTGAAAACGACAGGAAGTTCAGGTTGGCTCTGGCATTTATAGCACTGACATACATTCACCCCGCGAAGCTCTGGTGACAGGCTTTCTAAACAAGTCTGGGGACAGACTTTCTCCCTGGTTAGGCCTGGAGTCCACAGCACACAGACGCACGCACACACCGCACACACCCAGTCAGGCCTTTCCTGGTCTGGAAAAAGAGAAGAAAGACACAGGCCACCGGGTTCTGCAGTCTTTGTCAGTCCAGCTTTCTATCTTTGCTATCACTGGCTCCTGCAGTTTAAATCGCCCCTGGCCCCGTGCAGGAGGGCCAGCTGGTCCTTGAAACAGTGAGTAGGAAGTAGCCATGCTGGCTCCAAACACTGCCCTTGCCCTGAGTCCCTCCGTCCCCTGAGCTCCAACCAGAGGTGCAATGCAGCCTGTAGAATCTGGAGAGGGGAACTGGAGCTTAATTAGGCCACTAGATGCCTGACCACTGTAGCCAGTTCAGGTAATGCTTCAGCCAGTAGCAAATTAGGCCTCAAAGGTCACTTCCTGTGTGAACACTGTTACAGAGTCAGGCTGGAAAAGTAAAAAAAAAAAAAAAATCCTGGATATCTTCCCTGAGGCCCCAGGTCCCACTTGTTCTTTACTCCTGATCCCCATTTTTCCTCTGAGAGCCAGATGCTTGTGGAAAGGAGGGGGAGGGGTCTCTTCTGATGATCCTAGCAAAATCCACGTTCCTCATGGCCCGGCCTGAAATTCTGCTGCCATCGATGCAGACCATAAGGGTCACTGGGTGACAGTGGGGTTTAACACCCCTCCAGCAGGCCCCAGAACCCCAGGGACAGAGCCAGGCACTGAGCCTTGCAGGGAAGACACAGGACTCAAGGGTTCTGGGACGCTTCTCAGAGGTCCTGGCTGCTGCTGGGGAGGCTGAGGGGGAGCTGGAGGGGGCGGCTGCTGCTGTTGCTGCTGCTGCTGCTGCTGCAATTTCTTCTTGTTGATTTTCCTTTCCTTTGCTCTGCGGTTCTGAAACCAGATTTTAACCTAGAAATGGAAAGGTGGAGCAAACAGGAGGTGGTGAAGAACATGTGGGGACAAACAGAACAGTAGCCAGCATTATTAGCAGTATCTTCCTCCCTTTGCAACAAAAGGACCTTGAAGCCTTAGAAACTTTCCTGGGATATTCAGGAACAGCCTAGGGTGGGAGCTCACACCCAACTCGGGGCTCGGCCTCCTGAGCTGAGTGTTCCTCCTTTCTGGCTCCCCAGGTTTCTTTCCAGGGAATCTCCTGGGAGTGCACAGCCTCAGCACCAAGAAAAACAGACCTCCCACAAGCTGACCACTGAGCTCCTCTCAACACTTTAAATTTTATTTTGAGACAGAGTTTGGCTAAGTGGTCCTGGCTACCCTTGAAATGGTGATACTCCTGCCTCAGCTTCCAAAACTGCTAGGATCAGTTATTTATGCACCACGGTGCCTGGCCACCCTTTGTGTTTTTCTGAGTCGAAGTTATATCTTCTTTTTTAGTTTCCCTAATTCTGGGAACTCAGAGAGTGTCTATTGGCCCAAATGGAATTCTGTATTAAAGTAACATTCCAATTTTTCTTGTACCTTACAGGACCCTCAATGCAGAAAACATTTCAGTGACACGAAGATAAGCATAAATAGAAAGACACCTTGTATCTGCCCGCTCTCCCCTCCTGCCCAGGCCCAGGGGAGCCGACAACAGTCCCCACCTGCCTCTCTGAGAGCCCCAGCGTGGCGGCCAGCTCGGCCTTCCTCCGGATGGTGATATAGCGACTGTAGTGAAACTCCTTCTCCAGCTCCAGCCGCTGGTGGTCAGTGTACACGACGCGGTATTTGTCTTTCGTCCTGGTTTTCACTGTGGAGGAAGGAAAAGTTAGGGCTGAGAGCCACAGGCAGCCCATCAGTCATAGGTAATGACAAACCTCTCTAACCCAGGATCCATTTCTCTTCCTCCAGCGCCCTGGGGGGCCCGAGTTTGGCTGGCTCCTGCCAGGTCTGCCAGTCCCACCCCCAGTCCTGGGAGAGAAGGAGAGCGGAGGCCAACTACATTAACCTTGGGGTTAAGTTGTTATTGAAAATTGAAACTAAAACCTCATACACAGAAGACAGCAGAATCCAGGCTGTTCTTTTGGAAATCCAAACGCAGTACTGTGCTGGAATACATTTGGCATCTAGTGGAAGGGGGCAGGTGGTGTGGCCCCATTACTGGGCCTACGGAGATGTCAGTGCCCCCTGAAGATGGTGGAGGGTGTGCTGTGGACCAAAGTGGGCATTACCATGTGACCAGAACCACCACACAGGCGCGTGCACACACACACTTGGGGCTCACTCAAAGACACCTGGGCTTGCTCCCAGATCACTTCTGAGGGCAGGGTAAAGTTTCTCCTGCTGGGACACTTCATATCTGACCAGCCAGGTTGGTTTGGGGCATTTTTTCCTTTTAATTCCCCATTTATTCCCAGTGCAAACCCTGCCAGAGCTCTCCTGACCAGTAATCTATGATCACTGGATTGAGTCAACATATTAAATCTGGGATTGATTGCTTTACTAAGGGGGCTTCACAAACAGTGACACGGCTGTTGGAGCAGGCTAGAGCCTGGCCACTGCCAGTCCGTCTTGGGTCAGCTCTTGGCAGGGTGCCCCTCCTCCATGAGCTTTCTCTTGGGCCTCAGGCCCAGGTCAGGGTGGTCTCCCGGCCGAACAGGTTCAATCGCCCAGTGCCCACTCCTTCAGGAAGATCTAAAGGGTCTGGGAGTTGCTGGAGGTGTTTAATGTCCCGCGGGCCGACTTTGTTCAGGTAAACCCTTTGCAAACCATAACAAAAGCGCCCTGGGAAGACACAGGCGGGATCAGAGGGAGCTCCCCCAGCCGCTGAAAGGGGAACAAGCCGCAAACAATGCAGGACAAGGCGATCTTATCAAAGAAAAGCCCTTTCAATGCCTTAATAACAACCGCATTCTGTTTGAATTACCACTACTGAGCAAATGGCGGCCGGGCTTTCATCCCCCTCCCCGCCAGGCGTGTTAACATAAACACCGCCCGGCAGGCGCATTTGAATGGGAGCTGCGGCCCCGACCCCGCCGGCTCGGAGAGCAAAGGAGCCCCAAGAGCCTTCCTGAGGCGGGTGCTGCACCACCCCGCCACCACCGGCTCCCATGCAGCCCCAGTCCTGTCCTGTGCGCGGTGCGGCCCAGAGAGGAGGACACCATCAGTCTGGGTCCCACGAGGGGACAGGACTTTCTGGACCAGGCCTGGGAGCAGGGCACAGGGCAGTCACCTCCTACCCCTCCCCCAAAAAATAACACCTCAAGAGCTACTCTGGCCCTGGGGGTGCCTCGAAGTGGCCTCTGCTTGGGTTCTGCCCTTTCAGTGTCCCTGGCAAGCCCCAGAACTTGGTGACCAGGACCAGTTGCGCTCTATGCCCTGTGCCCCAAGGGCCTTATAGGCGCCCCGCACCCCCTGGGAACCAAGGAGTGGGGCTGAAGGGGGAGGGATGAGAGGGACTTGTCAGAATTCATTATTGACTGCGAAAGTCACCACCCTCTTTCCGGGCCCTAAAGGAGACAATGGCAGGGTTGGGAAGGTGTATATCAAAGCCGGCCGGGCCTGGTACCCCCCACACCCCCTTTGACAGATGATGCTCCGCAGAGGAGCCGGGCTCGGGGCCTGGGCTGCGGCCTCCCCACATTAACATCACAAGGGCGCCCGGCACCTACCGCGGCCTCACCACCTCGGCGCGGGACATCACAGCGACCTCGCATCTGCCGACCCCGCAGCCTGGGCCCTTGCAGCTACACACACACACACACACACACACACACACACACACCAGACCTGCAGCCACCCTCTCCGGACATGAAAAATCCTCCCTAGGTGCTAGGTGACCCCAGCCACCCTCACCCCAAGCAAGCTCAGTAAGTTGGTTTGCGGAAGCTCAGGTCTTGGGTGCCTGTTAGGACAAGGGCGCCCATTTCCCGGGGAAAGAGAACCCAAGGGTGATCTGTGTCCTTCCCAGGCTGTTTCCCACCTGAGCATACCCAGAATGTGTGCAGTGACGCACACGGAGTCCAGAGACAGCCCTCAACGTGCGCCCTGATTTATACGGCTGTAATTGGCTATAAACCTCTGCAAAGGGTTTATTACCTGCCAGCCGCCCAGCTGGGCCAGCAAGACGCTGAGCAAGGACATTGTTAGCACCGATGGCTGTGGAAAGACTTCTCAAATCAAAAGTAGCCAGGCCTCTCCTACAATCCCTGTTTTCACTTCCTTCCCACCTGACTACACATCCTGACACCAGGAGGGGCAGGCCCAAAGCCAGAGTCCTTTAATCCTGCCACGTTGGGGTCCACACTCACACCCTCCACAGAAAAGGAAGCTTTGGAGAAATTACCCCTGTCTGGTGCAGCGGCTGAACCCGCACCGAGTTCCTCCCTCTCTCCTCTGGCTTCTTTGGCCACAGCCTTCCAGCTTTTACTGGGAAGAGCCCCTTTGCGTTTCAAAGGTGCTGGGATCTGGGCGCGCTCCCTACCCCTCAGCGCCTGCGGCGGGCACCTTTACAGCTGCGTCCTGGATCTCTGTTCGCTGCAGGTCCAACCCTTTGCACTGTCCCGAACGCCAAATCTGGCCCCACGCGCAGGTTCGCGGCCCTCTGACTCCCCAGGTCAGCTCTCCTTTGGGGAGTCTCAGATAAGGAGAGCACGGGAAGAGACGGTGCAGACGCGGACTGAAAGAGTCCGAGGCGAGGCTCCCTCTCCTCTGCTGTGGAAGGAGCCCGGGTGGCCACCGTGGGGAGGACGTGACTGAGTTCGCGGGCCCATAGACGCAAGCCATTGCAAGAACGTCCCGAAAGTGGCTCAAGGTTGTGAGTGAGAACCGATGGGAGGAGAACCCTGTTCTGCGCCTGAGCCCCAAAATATCCACTCCTGGGAGCTGCAGCCAGCGAAGCCCGGAGAAGCCAGCGCCCCCGAGCTCGTCTCCTCGCCCCGCCTGCTGGGCGCTGAGCTCGTGGACAGCCGCTGCCCGGTGCGCCCTGGGCGCGCGGCCCGCCCAGCAAGAGCCCCAGCCCCCCGCGCCCTCCCGAGCCCTCCCGCGGGCGCCGCCGCTTACCTTGGCTGCCCAGAGACGGCTGCGCGGGCTTCCGCATCCACTCGCACAGGTTCCGCCTCTGGCCGCCGGGGGACAGCTGCTCGGCGGCGGCCGTGGCGGCGGGCCCGGGAGGGCCGGGGTTGAGCGTCTGCAGCAGCCCCGACGCGCAGGACGGCGCGGCGGCCGGGTGGTGCGGGTGGTGGTGCGGGTGGTGGTGCGGGTGGTAATCGGCGGGGCTGCTGTAGCCCATGGCTGCGGCCGGGGAGCCGCCGTTGAGGCCGTGAGCCACCGCGTTGGCCGCGGCCGCTGCGCCCCCGGGCGCGTAGCCGTTCCAGTCCTCGCGGAGCGGGGCGCCGTACGCGGCCGGCCAGGACGGCCCCGGCGACTGCGCGCTGTCCAAGTTCGCGGCCGCGGCTGCTGCGGCAGCCACATGGTACCCGCCGTAGTCCGGGTACTGCGGGGGACTGACGAAGTTCTGCGGCGCCAGGTTGAGGCTGCCCGAGTGGCGCACGGAGCTGGGGTACATGCTCACGTCCTTGTCCAGGAGGTAGCTCACGTACATGGTGGCGGGGGACCGAGAGCAGACCTCACCATGCTGCCTGGGGACGAACGCTGGAGGCTGGCCGGGGCGAGGACGCGACGGGAAAGGGACCAGGGTGTGCCACGAGCGGCGGGTGGCTGCGGCCCGGCCCGGGTGCTCCGCTGTTCGCTGGCTCCTCGCGGAGCTTCTGCGTCCGAGGCGGTGCCTCTCTCTGCCCTGCCTCCGCCCTCCCTTTCTTCCTTCTTTCCTCCCTCCTCCTTCCCACTCGGCTAAAGAGGCGGGGAAGACCCGCCACAGGCTGGCGTGCGGATCCCCAGGCCGGCGGCCTAAGGTGATTAACGAGTGTTTACAAGACTCTTAGTAATGACACAGACACCAATGGCTGGAGACGCCGAGGCGCAGCGCGCACTCAGCGCTCGGCCCCCCCAAACACGATTTGCATTTTAAAAGAAAAGGTGGGGGGACCTTGGGAGAGGGCAGCGACTTGATCACAGCTAAATATTCAAGCCTTTATTGTTAGGGAGCTTCCTCCTTCCAACCTGATGCACTTTAGCCTCCAATCACAGGTTCAAAGAATGAAATAAAGAGACTTGCAAAAGCCTGGGGAGAGAAAGAGCTATCTTAGTGGGAATCTGGGGTTAGAGACCCGAGCAGTCGTATTTATGCCTTCCCTGGAAAGGGGGCAGTCAGGAAACTCCTCTCCCCAAAGAGAAAAGAAAAAGAAAGCCATTGCTTTGATGGGAAAGTTTCTGACCAACCACAGAGCTGAGGAGCGGAGCTCTAAGAGAAGGGCTGACCCTCTCTGTGCTCCCAGGCTGCAGGAGCAATGCGAATTTATTTTCTTGCCCAAGGAAATCACTTGCCCTCCGCAGGACATAAATTGACTGTCGCTTCCTCCGGCTGCGTCTGCAAATTCATCTGACATTTGGGATTTGAGTTAAATTAAAGAATTCATTTTTAAAACGTTCATCCAAGAACCAAACTAGTTAAACTAAACTAAAACCCAGTGGGCCTGTGGGAGAAGTCTGGCGAATGGTTTCCTGAGTGTCACCCCAGTGGTTTATCCCAGTGTCTGCAACTTGCCATCTCTTGAGCAAAGTGCTGGCCGAACTATGTGTTCACTTTGTGAAAACTCAGCAGGTTTATTCTACTCAAATGGGCAGTTACAGCGAGGAAAAGGAGGCTAGCATGTTTGCTAATATCTAGGTAATTATGTGTTGTATATCATTTCTATGTCTTAAAAATGTTATCCTCTTTGCAAAGTAAAACCTTCTCCAATGAAATTTCCTTTCTGTTCCCAGGGAATGTGAGGGGACTGAAAAGCCACTATTAATTGTGGTCCATGAAGAGTTTTGAACAGGCAAAGGCTAAGAAAGGATCTCTTGGATTTTGGAGCTATGTGGCCAAGGGGTTCGGTGCTGGAAGGGACTGTCATCAACTCCAGAGCTGCTCAGCCAGGACTGGAACTACCCAGACAGGAATTCAGAGGCGGCTAGATGAGGCTTCCCCTGGAGGTGGTCATTTCTATCTCACCAACCATGGGGAGGGGCCAGTAACCACCATCTGACTCCTTTTTGAGGACTGGTCAGTGCTGCCAGGCTCCCTCAAGCTAGGCAGCCTGACTCCAGGACATCCATCGAGCTTGGAACCCGATGTCGCTCTCCTTCCTGGAGAAGTGGATGTGTTGTTCCTCCTTGTCAAGCTTGCCTCGTGGCATTTGTCACTGTTCTCTTCACCTTGTCATCTCTGGAGCACTTTTCAGTGTCCTGTATCTCCCTTGATTCAAAAGCTCCCAGGGTTAAGCTGGTGTTTATACCTCTTAATTTTATAGGTGACAACCACTAACCTGCCTAGTACAGACCGATCAAGACACTCCCACAAGTCTGGTAGCACAAGGCCCTGGGACCCCTTTTGCCCTTTGGGTTTTGTAATGAAGAAGGTTAAAACTGGAGGTGTCAGTGGCTGCACTCCCAAAAAGCAGGAGTCAGCAGCTGGTCTTCCTAAATATGCCTCTGGGGGGCTTGGCAGGGACAGCCGAGTGTGGTCTCATTTCCCAAGAAACAAGACTGGAAAAAAACTGTAAACCCCATTACTTGCCACAGATCACTGAGGGGAGGGCAGAAAGGGGGCACCGGTTACGCTGACAGGGCAGGAATGTGGGAGGTTAAGTGGTGGGCACCACAGACTTTTGATCTAGTGAGTCTCCCTCCTCTTCCTGGAGACACAATCCCCCTTTCAGTCCCTCCCAGGCTGCAGCTCTGGAAGCCCGAGCTGAGGCTCAAACCTGTGTCTTCGGAATGCTGGCATTCTTGGGAACAATCACTTTATTAGGGACAACCATTCCCTCAGCCCTGAGGTGGCCACTTCCTGAGATTTTATGGTCCCACTGCCTGCCCTGGCTAATTGTCCCCATTTTCCAGCTGTGTCTCTGTGCTGGCCCCGGAGAAGGAGCTCCAGCCTGGGCGCCCAACTGCTGTGGTCAAGTGGGGGCCCAGAACTGGCTGAGCCGCTGGGAAACCTGAGGCTCACTTGGAGCGCCTGAACTCAAGAAAGGAACCAATTATAAAAACCAGTTGGTTTCTTTCACTGCAAAAGTGGGCTTTCCTGGCAGAAGCAGGACCCTTACTGTACTCCTGGGGTTTGGGCTGTTCGATAAGGGAAAGGAGTTGGTAAATTACATTCATGGGCAGACTCTCCAGAGTGTGTGTCCCTTCCAGTGTACTGGGTCTCCTCTCCACCAAGAGATCCTGCTGGATCCCCTAAAGTGACAGGGTTCTGGAAACAGCTCAGATTTTTGTTGAAGGTATCAAAAGGGCCTGGGTGTCTTTTTGCCTGGGCAGTCCTAACCCACTGGCACTTCAGTGGCCCTTGCCTGTCCTCTGGGAAACTGCTCTGGGCTGAAACATTTTCTCCAGCCTCTGAGTACAGGTCTGTGACCGCCTTGGCAGGATACAGAACCACCTGCATCGTGTCACACATGGCTGTCTTAGTCATGAGCTCAAAGTGCTTGTCAGCTTCTTAAAGACTTTTGACCTAACTCAGGAAGCGCCTGGTATGGGTACCCCAACCCCAGCTCCCGGAGGCTCCCTTCTTCCATCCCATAAAGTCGGGGCCAGGGAAGCCTGCAGCAAGTTGCTGTAGTGGAGGCAACTTGTTTGGGAAGCTTGGGACTAGAACTGGGCTGGGGCTGCAACTGCAGCCACACGGAGCTCGAGCTAGCTTTTCAGGGGAGGAGAGGGTGGGAAGAAAGAGATCCAGGTAAATAAAGCAACGGAAGAGGCCAGGGCAGCCCCAAGCAGGTTATCAAAGGGATGACTCTTTGTTACTGTGTAGAGGCCATTCCACATTCTTCAGAAAGGGTCCCAGCCTGCAGGATCTCGGCTGGTGGCCCAGGCCAGGGCTCCAGAAGGGGGTGGGGAGCAGAAGGCTGCCGGAAGGGGCGGGCTGCCCTGCCAGGCAGATGAGACACTCCTTAAATCCACAGATCATTGACTCAGCTCCCTCCCTGCTCAAAGGTCCCCAGTGTTTGCTCCAGCTAGGGGGACCCCTGATCTGCCTGATATTTTTGGCTTCTGGGAACTGGGGCGCCCAGAGATAGGGCAGGCTGTCTCACCCACCTTAGCATGAAAGTCTATGTTGTGATCCCTTTTAGGTCAAGAAAATTACCCAAATGACACAGCCCATCCATAACTCCTCTTCTCCCTGTGCTGGCAATCCTTGTTGTACTGGACCCCAAATTCCCAGGACAACAGGACAATTAATGAAGAGTGAGAAGGAAGAAAAAATGTTTCCTGGGGATATGACTCAACTTAGAAGTCCCTAGTGTTGTGGAAAACTGTTCAGTCTCTACTCAATCCCAGGTTTAGGCCATCACACTCCATGGCCATCAGCTCACACAAAGAAAGACTCAATAATGGATGATCTGACCTCCACAACCCCACCCTGCCATGCCACAGCCCATTCGCTCAGCTAAATCTCTGGGAAGGAAATCAATAAGAGTGTCCTTTCCATAGGGCCTCCCCAGAGCCCACCACCTGTCCAGCCCCATTAGGCCACAATGGAGACCAACATGTTCATCCCGAGCAGCAAGGAGAGGCCGCAGCTGCCCACAGCTGCCTGGGCTGCATTCGATGTGACCGTACCCAATGAAGAGTGTTTTCCTCCCCAGCACGATGGCTGTCTGGTTCTCTCTTACCAAGCCAAGTCCCCAAACCCACAGGAAGCCACAGAGGTTTGCCACACAGAGCCGGGATGGGGGTGCCTGGAGAAGGGTCCCCCTGATTCCCTCTGCCCAGATGGGGGGTACCATCATGCCTGCGGACCCAGGGCAGGATGGCATTTTTTCTACTCACCTATCTGAAATATATTCTCACAGCCAAAGAAATCCCCAAGAGAAAAAAGAGACTCAAGAGAAGGGGTAGCATTTGGATGCAAAAACTTGGTTTTATTCATTGGGTGAAAGTTATACAAATAAATAGCAGTTGCTCATTTTCTTTGTTCTGAAAGGAGGGTCTATATGTAATCATTGTGTAATGAACTCTAATTCTGAGCACAGAAAGCAGTTTAAATTCGAGAGACAGAGAGAGAAGCATCCAGCATCTCAGGACTGGTGCCCTCAAGGGGATCTACAGCCTCTATCACCAAGAAATTGACGGATGGCAGAAAACAGGCTCTCCGGGCGGCCAAATGTTACCACGTGGCTTGGCGGGGAGGCCTTCAATTAACATTTGTTCACTCACCATTGTCTCGTGCCCACAATGACCTCTGTTTGTCATATGAAAATATATTCCCAGGAAGCCCTAAGGGGTAACTAAGCTCTATGTGGCTGTCAGGGAAGGGACTCAGATAAATATTTTGCTCTCCTGATTCACTGCACCCATCGACAAGTTGTTTTCCCCAGAGGGGAGTCAGGGATCTTAAGAGCCCCTGTAATCCATCTTCTTTATACAGGAGACTCTGGGGCCCAGAGAGGTTAGATGATTTTCCATAGGTTGCACAGCAAGTTGTTCAAAACCCGGAAGTTAAATGAGCGACTATATGTGCATTCTCTGCAGCCCACAGTTATCTGTACAGATGTTAATTATTACTATGCCTGTTGGTGCCACCTGGAAACACATCCCCAACACAGAACCAACAAGCACGATCCAAGGAACCAAAACTCCCATCCATCCACCAGAGGGTACCAGATAAACCAGTGTTCTTACAATTTTGAACACTTTCTCAATACTATCTATTTCTGTCTTTCAAA